CCTCTCCCTCGGCCCCTCCCCCCTGCTTTTGTGTGCTCTCTCAAATAAATAAAATCTTAAAAATAAATGAAAAAACTGCTTGCCAAGGAAACTAATAATAGAATTTTTTTTTTTTAAAGACTTTGTTTATTTATTTGACAGTGAGAGAGGAAACACAAGCAGGGGGAGTGGGAGAGGGAGAAACAGGCTTCCCGCTGAGCAGGGAGCCCGACGTGGGGCTTGATCCCAGGACTCTGGGATCATGGCCTGAGCCGAAGGCAGATGCTTAACCAACTGAGCCACCCAAGCGCCACCTAATAATAGAATTAAAAGATAAACCACAGATTTGGAGAAAGTACTTGCAAAACACATATCCAAAATATACAAATAACTCTTAAAACATATCAATAAGAAACCAATCAACCCAGTTCAAAAATGGTCATAAAATACCTTGCCGAAGATAGATGAAAAATAAGCATATGAAAAGATACTTAACATCATACATAATTAGAGGATTGCAAATAAAAACAGCATTGAGATACCACTACCTATCTACTAGAATAGCTAAAATTAAAAACACTGACAATACCAAATGCTAATGAGGATGCATAACAACAGAAACTCTTATTCACCGCTGGTGAAAAAAAGCAAAACGGTACAGTTACTATGGAAGACAGCTTAGTAGCTTCTTAGGAAGCTATCCATGGTCTTAGCATATAATCCAGCCATTGGTGTTCCTAAGTATTTACCCAATAAAGTTGAAGACTCTTGTCTACATATACAAGTGTTTATAATAGCTTTATTCAGAACTGCCAAAAATTGGAGCCAACCAAGATTTCCTTTAATAGGTGAATGGATAAATAGTGGCACATTCAAACAATATAATATTATAAAGCAAATAAAAGAAATGGACTGTCAAGCCATGAAATGACATGGAGGAATCTTAAACTCATATTGGTAAGTGGAAGAAGTGAATCTGAAAAGGCTATATATTTTATGATTCCAACTATGTGACATTCTGGAGAAGGCAAAACTATGGAGGGCAATAAAAAGATTAGGGATTGCCAAGGGTTGGGGATGGGAGGATGAGTAGGTAATGCACAGGGGATTTTTAGGGTGGTGGAATTATTTTGTATGACACTGTAATGGTGGATACGTGACAGTATAGATTTATTAAAATCCACAGAATTGTTCATTACAAAGAGTGAACCTTAATGAAAACTATGGGACTTAAGTTAATAATAACATATTAATATTGGTTCATCAAATTCAACAAACGTACCATACTAAGGGAAGATGTTAATAATAGGGGAAGTTGGGCGCCTGGGTGGCTCAGTCGGTTAAGCGACTGCCATGATCAGGTCATGATCCTGGAGTCCTGGGATCGAGTCCCGCATCGGGCTCCCTGCTCAGGTCATGATCCTGGAGTCCTGGGATCGAGTCCCGCATTGGGCTCCCTGCTCAGCAGGGAGTCTGCTTCTCCCTCTGACCCTCCTCCCTCTCGTGCTCTCTGTCTCTCATTCTCTCTCACAAATAAATAAATAAAATCTTTAAAAAAATAAAAAATAAAAAATAATAATAATAGGGGAAGTTGTATGTATGTGCATGGGGAGGTGGTTATAATAGGGGAACTCTCTTTTATGCTTAATTTTCCTGGTAAAAAATATATCTATTTTAGCCAATTTACTAATGAAATGGAGTATAGTTTTAATTTATATTTAAACATCTTTAAAAGTGTTTACTAACTCTATTTCCTTTTTTTCTGAAACTTCTCCATGCTTTTAGGGACAAACTTCCAAGTTCAGAATAAATTCAGGCATTAGCTGCTCAAGTTATATTTTTAGGCCTGACACTTCGATGTAAACATCACTGAGATTCAACTTCTCTGTTGTAATGCCACTTTGTTTCAAGAAGCATAGTTTAGGATGGAATAATAGGTCTAATGTACTGACTCCTTAGATCTCATTTTCTCAGAGTATCACTATGAGCTTCTTGAAGAATTAAAGTACTAGTATCTAAAAGTGTTTTTCAAACATTTGTATGATGATGTATTTTCCAAATACAATAAAACAATGAAGACTGAAAAAAAAATTATCCTGTACTGAAAAAAGACCTAAATTCATATTAAGGGAGTTTACAGAGTATCAGCTTTTATGACCGAAGCTTAGATATTGGTCTGAAATTTTCATACTGCTAAGATAAAGAAATTCTGTTAAGTATCTAGACAGGGAAAAATCACACATACACACAAACTCAAGACAAGCTGTCGTGGTCATCAGTGATATTCACCAAATACTTCTGTTAACTTCCCTTCTAGTCACCTAGGTGGAATGTACTTCTTTACTCTCTTGAAATGAGGTGCGACCACATGACACTTTGGCCAGTTAACTGTGAGGAGATGTGCTCTGTATCACCTCTGAGTAGGAACTCTAAAAAGAGTGTGTGTCCTTGATTCATCACATTCCCTTTTCCTACATTACCACTTGCTGCTTTACCTTGCAATTTTATGTTTTGGAATTGGTTACTTTCCTTAAACCTCATGAACCAACTACTGCTAGCTCAAACTTTTCTTCTGTAGCTTCCTCATCTCTCTCAGTCTTCACAGAATTGAACAGAGTTAGGGCCTTCCTCTGGATTAGGCTTTGGTGTAAGGGAATGTGTAAGCCACTAAAACTTTCTCCATATCAGCAATAAGGTTGTTTCACTTTCTTATCTTTGGTGGGTTCACTGGAGTAGCACTTTTAATTTCCTTCAAAAACTTTTCCTTTACATTCACAGCTTGGCTATTTGGTGTAAGAGGCCTAGCTTTCAGCCTATCTTGGCTTTTGACATGACTTCCTCACTAAACTCAATCATTTCTAGCTTTTGATTTAAAGTGAGAGATGTATGACTCTCCCTTTTACTTGAACACGTAGAGGCCATTATAGTGTTATTAATTGGTCTAATGTCAGTATTGTTGTGACTCAGGGAATACGTAGGCCCAAGGAGAGGGAGAGAGATGGGAGAGTGGACAGTGAGTGGAGCAGTCAGAACCAACACATTTATCCATTAAGTTTGCCATCTTATACAGGCATGGCTTCTGGCACCCCAAAACAATTATAATAGTAACATCAAAGATCACTGATCACAGATCACCATGACAAATATAATAATGAAAATGTTTGAAATATTGTGAGAATTACCAAAATGTGACAAAGAGATAATACAAGCAAATGCTGTTGGAAAAACAGTGCCTGCATACTTGCTCAATAAAGGGTTGCCAAAAACCTCTAATTTGTAAAAAATGCAATTATCTGCAAAGTGCAACAAAGCAAAGCAAAACGAAGCATGCCTGTACAAACCAATAAAAATGTTTTTTTTTTCTCTTCCCTTTTTTTCTGGACCACAGACAAATGCTTCTTTTCACTGATGCATAATAATCTATTATATGGATGGACGTACTAGCATTTATTAACCAGTACTCTGTTGATGGACATTTATGTTGTTTTTCATCTTTTACTATTAACAAATGGTGTTGCAATGAGTAACTGTATATACATCATTTCACAAGCGTAAATTCCTACAAATATTGTTGGAGTCAAAGGGCATATGACTTTGTAATGTGCTCAGATGCTGTCTATTATTCTAGTTATGTCAATTTATACTACCAGCAGGAACACTTGTCTATTTCCCTGTAAGTTCACAACTTTAGTGTTATCAATTTTACAGGTTTGTCAACCTGGTAGAAAAAATTGCTAATATTTTTAGTTAATTTACTTAATTATAAGTAAAATTAAGTAAGTTTATAAGTTTAAGACAAATTTATATTTAATTTTCTGTGACTTTTCTGTGCATATCCTTTACACAGTGTTTCTACTGCTAATATGATTGTTAAAAATTTTAAATATTCTAATAGCTCAAAGGCATACCAGTCACATGGGTCTCCTGTCAAAACCACCCAAACAGTACTGAAGTCAAACACAAAGGAAAATCATACTGAAGAACTCAAGAATAAAGAAATAATGGTTGTATAAAATGACTGAGCATAGGACTGAATCAAATTATAGTCAAGACTAAAAAATTATTGTAAATATTATAATAAACGTGAAAAATTCTTCAAAGATTAAAAAAGAAATTACCTAGATTTATATCCCCACGGGAAATGGGTGATTACAGTAAAACTGTAAAGTCACTTCCTCACTTTACCTAATATACAGTCACCATTTATTGCTTTAAAAACAATCTTACTTCTAATTTATATAACTTTACTTAATACATAATTTTACTTCTATACATAATAAAAAAAGCATGTTACTGAGAAATCTAAATTCACTGCATGGAATATAGCAGAAAAGAGCTTTCATAGAGCCCAAGTACTGAACCTTAATAGTAATATATTCAATGTAACAGTCATAATTTGTCTCATATATTGAATAAAGAATGTGAAAAGAAAAAACGAGGCGAAAAAGCAAGAGAATCTTCTTGAGGTAACTACGCAAATAAGATAAAGATGGAAAGTAGAAAAGAATTCTAGAAGACGTGACTGTACATATGAAAAAAATTACTTGAGGTAGGGTTAAACAACAGGGAAAAAAAGAATGCATGTTATGACAGTTACCTAATTTATAAACAGAAACAATGCCTACCTTGCAGGGTTGGTGTAAAGAATAAATGATAACACAGATAAAAAGTATAAGATAAGGTACAGAACATAGATAAAAGGCACAAGGAACATGCTCAATAAATGCTAATTTGTTTTTTCTACTGGCAATCACAAATTCTTCACAGACAAAAGGCCATGATGGAAAAAGTATCAACTGAAAATTTGTTACTGTGGAGAAAAATAAGGTAAAAACAATATGCTCAACTCAAATATACCACCCTAATTTTTAAGGCTTTGCATGTCTTTGCGTGTCTATGATTTAAAGGAAAAAAAAAAGGAAATAAGATAATGAAAATAATAAAAAATATTTTCAGTACTGTCTATAAGAATCATCACATGCCTACACAAACAAGAAAATACCAGAAATCAATAGTTTTACCATGGTCTTTCCTGATCCTCGGGGTCCAATAATGAGAACAGAGTTACTTTCTCCATGGATAGCAGTTCTTTTCAGCAGCTCAATTAAGTGTCTGAAATGACATAAATAAGCCAAAATTTAAAAAGGAAGCTGGAATAATTTGCTAGGTAATACTATTTAAAAGTTGAATTTGAATATGCACAGAAAATAAGCATTCCCTTTTTCTCTCTCTCTGGGCACTGGACTTATGCTCTATATAGTCCTACAAAGAAAAACACAGAAGAGAGGGTAGGTCAATATGGATTCTCTGGAAACCTCAAGAGGAAACCAAGTAAGTTTGAAATATCTTGGCTTTCTGATGGTATGGGACAAGAGACGACAGTGGCAATTGGGAGCTTTCACTCCACAATTGGCTGTCGAGTATTTAGGTGCAAAACGCTCAGAATTCTCTCCGTAATACCAGATGACAGAAGCAACACAAGATTGAAAGGTAAGGAGCTTTCTCATTATGGAAATACTTATATCTGCTCTTGCTTTATAATATTCAGTGTTTCTATAAAGGAAGAATTTTTTTATCTCTACAAAAGTATCTGTCAGCCTTATTCAAGATAAAATCTGTGTAAGATAATTTTTGCAAAACCTAAGGGCATCTTTAAGTAGGTTTATAGCACACAAAGGGATAGCTAAACTTACTTGTATTGTACTTGTACTCCAAATAAGTTACTATGTGGGCTCTGATGACAAAATTTTTCCCGTAAAATTCTTTGTACCTTATAAAAACAAAGTGAATAAATATAAATGAAAATGTTACACACAAAATAAAAAATGAATGAGAATATATATTTACAGCAGTCAGAATTAGGTATTAATGAATCTATTCAACCCTCCCCAAAGAACTTGTCTTCAAGAGTTCCGGTACCATTTCCATGAGTTGTAAAATTAACGGTTCTTTTCACCTATCTCAAGTCCCAGAGGAAGGATGAGAATTTACTTGTGAGGTTCAACAAGAGAAAGAATTACTTACTTTAGCCACATCAGCAATTTGAGGGCTGTTTTATTGCGTGTGAATAAATGAATACTTCACTTTGTATGTAACGTATCAGCCAAGGAAAAAAGACAGGAGAGAATCTAATAATGTAATCTCACCTAATAATGCTTATGAACCACACCTCAATCTTTAGAGACCAAACAAATCTGAACTGGCTTAACCCAAGCCCTATCCATTTGCACCAGTCATAAAAGTCAGGATTCTGAGAAAATAAAGGAAGTTTAAAAGTCCATATAGTTACTGGACCTATAGGACCTATTAGAAGCAGAGCATGCTACTACTAAAAGAGCATGATCCATGCCTAAAGAAACAGTGCAAATAAACTGGAAAGAAATGACACACTTAAAAAAGTAGTAATTCAGCATATAAGGAAATGCTCAATTACACGGAAGAAATTAAGATTTATCTATACCTATAAAATGAGGAATCACTAGAATGAATGAAGAAAAAAAATTCTTGTAAGGACCTAAATTTTCAGTTTGCCTTAGAATAAAGGGCTTAGACTGAGTTGTGAAAAATTATGTCAGATAATCTAGCACATTCTTTAAAAAGACAGACCACTAAAGGATTCCTTTTCTGCATCTGCTGCTCATACAGAAATCTTTCAAAGACAAAAAGCTTAGGAGGCTATTTCACATTTGGTCCCATCATCAGAAACAAGAAGCTTCCAAGATTATTTGCTTCTCTCAGACTGACAGCATGGGACTGATTCTTCATGTACCAAAAGATAAAATCTGAGTTCTGTTTATATGTACCAGAGGCTAAGCAAAGCAAATTACTCAGTGGTAATAAAATAATCCTAATTATCATTATATAAGAAGGGGAAAGAATAAGAGGAGTGATGCCAAAAGAGCCAATTATGTGGATTTTAAAGTTACACTTTTCTAAATCTTAATTTTTTTAGTCTATAAAATGGAACAGTAATAGTTTTCTGGCAGGCCTGTTCTCAAGATTAAATAAGGTAGTCTTGTCTGTAATATAAGTATTGTATAGGTAATAGCTGGTACCTATAAAACACTTAAATGAGCATATATAATCATAATACTAATCATATTGTATATTCCTCTACCTAGATAAGATCATTAGAAATCAAAAGATAAACCTCAGTCCTTTGCTTTTCCAAATTTCATTAAAGTCTAATGAGAGGCAACAACTATGTATAAAATCTAAGGGATAAAGTGAAGTGAAGCTGTAGTGAACAGTGAAAGGTTCAAAAATCTGAAAGTGATCTGAGATGAAGGTTAAACAGATGTACACGTGTATAGAAATTAAGCTGTAAGTGGAAGATTTGTGCACTTTACTAGGATATGTAAATTATACTTCAGCTAAAAATTTTTCATAAAACAGAGTTAAACATCTTCCTTCCAAAAAAAAGTTAAGGTCTTACATGAGGGATGCCAATAACATACATTTAGTTTTGATTAGAAAAAACTATAGTTCTGGTCAAGTCAGATAAACAGAAATGCCAGGACAGAGTTATTATACCTATTCCCTACTATATTTCTTAAGAGACAGACACACAGATATATGCTCAACACTTGGAATACAGTATGTACTTAAGATAATATTAAATGTTCATGATAAAAACACTCAATATACTAGGAAAAAAGGACAACATCCTCAACCCGATAAAGGGCATCTATAAAAACCTATAGCTAACATCACATCAATGGTGAAAGACTGAATGTATTTCCTCAAAATCAAAAACAAAACAAGAATGTCTGTTTTTGTTGTTGTTTACTCAATATTGTACTGAAAATTCTAGCCAGGGAAATTAGACAATAAAAAAATAAAGTCAACCAGATTGAAAAGGAAGTTAAACTGTATTTGTAGATGGCATTATCTTATTAAAAAACTAAAGAATAAACTAAAAACTATTAGAACTAGTAAGTGTGGCAAGGCTGCAGGATACAAGATTACATATAAAAATCAACTGCATTTAGATACACATGCAATGAACAAATAAAAAAATTAAGAAAACAATTCCATTTATAACAGCGTCACAAGAAATAAAATAGGAATAAATTTAACAAATGAAGTACAGAATTCTTAATTAAACTGAAATTAGGACACATTTGGGAAGACAGGAGTAAAGTTAGGATTCCAACTATCTAAAGACTTACAAAGGATGAAAGTAGTGTAAGACAGTCTCTCCTTGAGAATGGAAAGGGTGATTCTTCGTAAGTGTTAAGGGGAGAATTCAAATTAAGAAGATTACTATTTCTCTGATCAGCTTTGCATGATAACAGACTTTGAGGTTAATGAAAATATATACTAACCTGTGACAGGTACTCTGCATGTATTAAGTTGTTACTCTTTGATTTACGACTGCTCATTTTAACAAACTGAAATCCTTAAAAACAAAAAAAGCATGAATACAAAACATTACTGGCTTGAAGAGATTCTTTAAGAATTTACTATTACAGAATCAAAATAAACACAAGTTTTAAAACATGAAAATGTCCCAATTTCTCAAACTTTAAAAACTCTCAGCTGAATCTTGTGTTTCATTTCTTAATATATGTAAACCAAATCGTCGGTATACCTTCAACTCATACACATTAATGTATGTCAATTATTTTTCAATAAACTGAAAAAAATCTCAACAGTTCTTTGTCTAACTACAGGCTTATTCCAATTCTCATACCACACGGTATATGGTTCTTACAGACAACTAACTCGTACCTTTCCCTTGAATCTACTGTTCGCATTACCTTCCTTACCTTTTTTTCTTTTTTAATCTATATGATTCCTTTATACAGAATGTTTCCCTCCCCCATCCATCCCACAGGATCATCACCTTCCAGAATGCCTTCGCTTTCTTGCTCTACTCATCATACATACACAATCATTAGAGGGTAGGTAAAATGCCTCTTCTGTGAACATCGATAATTGCCTTTATTTCTCTTCATCCATAATTAAATTATAGTTAAAAAGATTGTCCACTTAACTGCCAGTATCCCAAAACAGCATGTTTTAAAATTCCAAGCATTTTAGCACAATATCCAAAATACAATTGGCAGTGATAATGCGAATGGAAAATACATATATACTAATAAAAAAAAGAGAACTTTTTTAAAATTCTTCCTCAGGGCAACACAGTCACAGATAAATACCTTTGGCTAAAAGATCTAATTTTCTTAGCACTGTTTTCCAATAGCAATCTTTTACTAGTCTGGTAATAAGAACTTAAGCAGTGTTTGCTTATATACCAGGAACTGTTACAAGCGCTTTGTATTTAACTCACTTAATAACTCATTAACTCATATTTATTAATTTTACATACTGACAATTAGACGCCAACCCTTGGAATGCTGTTTTATTCTTCTCTGGAAATGCTAACAGGATAATCTGGGCAAGGCTTTGACAGACTGATAGCAAGCAAATCTGTCTCCCCCTTATGTATAAGCCATGTAGCCAGGGCCTGTCCAAAGAGCTTCTGGCTCCTAGATCCCAAATTGGAAACTCAAGAACAGAGTACTCAATTGTCTTATCCCTTAAGAATATTTTTTCTTAAGAGAAAAGCGGTCTTCTCAGCTGCCCTAGGGCATCTTCTAGCAGCCTATGTCTACGCAAGGCACTTTGAGAATCTTTACATTAACAATTTTTACTTTATTCTACTTATTTTATTATTTCTTCTCTTAAATAAGAACTGTATGTGGCGGGGAAATCCTTTTATCAACACGAAAAGATATCTTCACTGTGGCTTAAAATACTCCTAACTGTGAAAAAGGTCTATAAATCAACATCTGAACTCACAAAAAGTCAATTACTGCTAGACAAAGAGCATCAAGCATTTTTATCTTTTTATAATCGACTGACAGCTTGCTAGGACCACATTAAAAAAACGATTAGTAATATATTCTCCTTTCCGGAATTAAGGTGGTCTATTTATCTTTTACTTGCTGCCTTCAATTAAGACTTGGGGTTAAGAGGAATATTTCAAATGAAGATTAAAATTACTAGTCAATATCTACACTTTCACTTCTTCTAACAATTTTGCCATGATTGGAATAGTCTTCCTACTTATTTCAAACTTGAAGTTACTAGATGCATTTTAGCATGTCTAAAAATCTGGCAATATAGACTCTAAATCTTCTACTGAATATATGAAAAGGTTTTCATTTTTAAAATTAAACCAGAAAAAAGTAAAAGCAAAGGAAGTGAAGGTGAAGACACCGAATTTTTTCTAGAAATTTTTAGTGTTTCTTAGACAGTCACAAGTGATGAAATTTAAAAAAAATACATTATTCAAATCAGAACCGTGAGAAGTCCAGAAAAAAAAATATTTGTATATCAAATTTAAGATAAATGCAAATTCTTAAAGAGTAAGGAAAAGCACAACTAGAGAAATGCGATTAATGGTAATACTATGTCCTTAAGAGCTTTGTTACTAGCAAGGCCTAGATTTGGGTTGTTCTGTGGTGTCACCTTCACAAATTAACTTTCCTAAGCCCCAGTTTTCTTCTCTGCAAAATTTGAGAAAAAACTATTATCTAATTCACAGGGAATTGGGGGGGTTAAATTAAATGGTTTACCTGATATGCAATGCTGTCAAATCCCATGTACAGTAATACAGTAACCTTTCTAAATTATCACATTACATTGGAGAGAAGAACCAAGAGGAGGATGAGGAAGGGAGGGAAGCAAAAGCACAGAATCTTGTTCTAAACTATTTCTTTGACAGTACTTCTTTGACAATGCAATAAATATCAAGTGCAAGTTCAACTAAAGTACTTCAGAATTATGAGAGAATACTTCAATGGTATACATTCACTGAGTTTTTCTCAATATAAAAAAATACAGTTTTGAATACTGGTAGTAAAAAGAAATGATGGGTGGATCAATCTACAGTCACATGGATCTCAAAGACCTCAAATCACTAATGGTAAGAAGCCATTCAACACCTGGAAGAGATGATGACTGCTGGGCAGCATACCCAGAGTTTCTGATTTAGTAGGCTTAGGGCAGCACTTGAGAATTTGCATTTCTGATAAGTTCCCAGATGATGCTCCTATTGCCAGTCCCAGAACCATACTTCAGGAGTTACTGCGAAAATTGAGGATTTCTTTTCATCCCACATCAAACCTGATAAAACTGGTAAGATACCACAGAAGATAAAGAAATCCATGGGTATAGATGGCATCTCTTCAAACCAAATTAAGCCTAAAAGTAAACAGTATCTAGGGATCATACTGAGGTAAACAGTATCTAAGGATCATCAAAACAGGAGAATTTGGAATAGGAAAGACAACAGGAAGCCAAGGGACTTTCATCATCGTAAATAAAATAAGCTAGAAGGCTCCCTAATAGAAAAACAGTTCACAGAGCATAAGCCACAAGTGGAATAAAAAAGTCAGAAAAGTTTTTCTTTCCTCCAGTTATTGAAAAGTAATAAAGGTTTTGTCCTATCATCTGATGATTCAGAGAGCCTTCAGAGGATATTCACATAAACTTTAAACAGGGGCATCTGGTTGACTCAGTTGGTAAGCATCTGCCTTCGGCTCAGGTCATGATCCTGAATCTGGGGTTGGAGCCCCACATGGGGCTCCCTGCTCAGCGGGGAGCCTGCTTCTCCCTCTCCCTCTGATGCTCTCCCTGCTTGTGTCTCTCGCTCTGATAAAATCTTCAAAAAAAAAATTTTAAAAAATTCTGTAAACAAAAGAGTGAAATATAGAAACACTTGCCTGGATATTGTATATTTATATGTCATCCCCTGGTCAAAAACAAAACAAAACCAAAAAACCTTCTTTCCTGCAAGATTATTAAATTGTTTTGACATATATGTTTTAACAGCATAAAAGACACTGTTTTTACAAATAGTTTTTGATTCATCAATATTTTCTTAGGAAAAATTAAAATCCCCGAACTAAAAAAAAATTAAGCAAAAGCAAAAATTAGTACTTAAAAAATACTTTAGAAAATAGTTATCAACTTTAGAAAATAGTTATCTCAGACTGGTATCAAACAACACGAAGGGCGCCTAATACAAAAAGAACAAAAAAGATGTGTTTGATTCAACAGATGAGGACAAACATTTGCTCTGGTAAAGCCAGCTAAATAATAGTGCTAACCGAAGATTACAGTCTCACAGTTCCAATTATAAGAGAAAAGCACTAATGGTATGGCACTGTTGGACAGGCTATGTCAGTTACCGTGATGCCAAGCGGGTGGTCAGTGGCAAAGAACAAGTAGTATTTAGGAAGACATGAGCAAAATGGGTTAATGCTCATTAAAAAATAAATAAATAAATCCCAGGGCAACAGACCTGAATCTTTACGGGTAGAAACTCCCTCCGCTACAAATTATTATTCTAATATGCAGAGTTGGAAAAAAAATTGGATTAGTCTCATACAACATGCCTACAGAGTTCCTGGTAAATGACAAAATGGTTCTTTTTATAAAACCTGAGCAACTTAGGTCTGTGTCAGTTTGCCCACTTCCCTGGACATTGGTCTCTTGAGCAGTTAAGTGTCATATATGAGATTATCATAACTGTAGAGAAAATATTATAGAGAAATTGATTGCTAATATCCACAGAAGGAAGATACTTTTCTTTGCCAAAGGCCAAGGGCTTTAAACACTGCCCAGAATGAGATGACTGCACCCAAAATCCAGGTAGACACTCATAGGTATCCTGTTAAGAGCAGTTAAAGTAGGAAAAAATAAAACAAAAACCATACCTTTTCTTCTTATTTACTTAATGTTTCAATGTGTTGGTCTTGGTGAATACATATTTAACCTAGTAAATTACCTGCCTTTATTTATTGTGTATGTTTATGTGAGAGTTAAAGTTGACTCCAAATTATATAATCTTTTCTCTATATATTACCAAACCAAATGGTTCAGAATACAAATATGGCAATGACTACTTATTTAAAAAACAAAACAAAACAAAACTTCACATTTGGGGTGCCTGGGTGGCTCAGCCAATTGAGCATCTGACTCTTGATCTCAGCTCAGGTCATGATCTCAGGGTCATGAGATCTAGCCCCACGCTGGGCTCTGTGTTCAGTTGGGCTCTGTGCTCACTGGGGAGCTGGCTTCTTTAACTCGTTCCCCCTCTCCTTCTGCCCTTCCCTCCCCACCCCGTTCATATGCACGCTCTAAAATAAATAAATAAATCTTAAAAAAAAAAACAAAAAAACTTCACATTTGGAGACATTCACTCTTAACCAAATAACTAAAAATAAACAATGCCATTTTACCCATGCATAAATATGAAACTACCCAAGCCAATATATTCATTCATACAACAGCCAAGTAAAGCACATCATTCAATGAGTATTTAAACTTACATATATATACAATGGATATAATTTTATTCATTAATGGTCTTTCTTCTAGATGTTC